TCCATCAGTGCTGTAGAGGGTGGAGATGGATGGCAGGAGAGAGATCACGTGATCATTACCTGTTAGGTTCACTCCCTCTGGGGCCCCTGGCAGTGGCCACTGTCGGCAGACAGGATACTGGGCTAGATGGACCTTTGGTCTGACCCAGTATGGCCGTTCTTATGGTTTAGGTGGAGCCCATCCTTCCTGTATAGGCTCCCCCATCCCCAAAGTTTCCCCAGTTCCTAATAAATCTAAACCCCTCCTCCCTACACCATCGTCTCATCCACGCATTGAGACTCTGAAGCTCTGCCTGCCTACCTGGCCCTGCGCGTGGAACTGGAAACATTTCTGAGAATGCTACCATAGAGGTCCTGGATTTCAGTCTCTTTCCTAGCAGCCTAAATTTGGCCTCCAGGACGTCTCTCCTACCTTTCCCTATGTCGTTGGTACCTACATGTACCACGACCACCGGCTCCTCCCCAGCACTACACATAAGTCTATCTAGATGCCTCGAGAGATCCGCAACCTTTGCACCAAGCAGGCCAGTCACCATACGGTTCTCCCCGTCATCACAAACTCAGCTATCTATGTTTCTAACGATCGAATCTCCCATTACTAACACCTGCCTTTTCCTAGTGACTGGAGTTCCCTCCCCCGAGAGGTAACCTCAGTGCGAGAGGATACCCCAACACCATCTGGAAGGAGGGTCCCAACTATGGGAAGGTTTCCCTCTGCTCCCGTTGACTGCTCTCCTCCTCTGAGCCTTCCATCCTCCTTAACAGTGCAGGGGCTGTCTGACCAGAGGTGGGACAAATCTACAGTGTCCCGGAAAGCCTCATCAACATACCTCTCTGCCTCCTTTAGCTCTTCCAGTTCCGCCACCCTGGCCTCCAAAGCCCGTACGCGGTCTCTGAGAGCCAGGAGCTCCTTGCACCGAATGCACACATACCTCACCCGCCCACAGGGCAGGTAATCATACATGCTACACTGAGCACAATAAACAGGATAGCTCCCACTCTGCTGCTGGGCTTCTGCCTGCATTCTCTCCTACAGCTGCCGAGGTTAATGACAAGGTTTTTGTTTAAATCAAGAAGTTTTAATTATAGTTTAGTTTAAAGGTTTTAAAGAATGGCAAGTGTACCTCGCCCCCTTCCCAACTCCCTCTCGAAACTCCCTGTTAGCGGCCCCTGGTCGCAAAGCTCCCTGGTTGCTTGCTCACAGCTTTATAAAGCCCTGGCCTTCCTGATAGCCCCGCCCCCTGACTAAGGCTCAGCCAATGAACAGAGGCTTCATAGGCTTCTATTAGACGACAGGAACACAGTCTAAACAGAGTTTGTAGATATAGAAAACAGGACCCCTCAGTCAGGTCCCTCTTGGGGCGTGGGGAGCCCAGACCTGGGTTTTGGGCCTCCCCCCGCCCCGTCTCCCCAGCCAGCTCCAAACTGAAACCCCTTCCTGCTGCCTCCCCCAGCCACACCCCCGACCCCTCCTCCAGCCTTTGTCCCAACCCCTTCCTGGGCTCAGGTTACGAAGGGCAGTCGGGTTCGCTTCTGTGCTGGCTGTCAAGTATCATCCCTCAGTGAAGTCACCCCCTTCTTTTCCATCCCCCTCTAGTGTGGAGCAGCACCCCAGGGAAATGGAGCCACGCCCGGTGTTAGCAGAAGACAGTAAACTAGTAAAACTCCCATGCAACATTACCAGGTTAATACTCCCTACTCCATCACATGTTTGAGCCTCCATTTCCGGAAATATTGTTCCATATTTTGGAGGTCCTCAGTTAATGCACTGCTACAAGCTGGGGACCGACTGGCTAAGCAGCGGTTCTGCAGAAAAGGACCTGGGGATTACAGTGGATGAGAAGCTGGATATGAGTCAACAGTGTGCCCTCATTGCCAAGAAGGCCAATGGCATATTGGGCTGTATAAGTAGGAGCATTGCCAGCAGATTGAGGGAAGTGATTATTCCCCTCTATTCGGCACTGGTGAGGCCACATTTGAAGTATTGCGTCCAGTTTTGAGCCCCCCACTACAGAAAGGATGTGGACAAATTGGAGAAAGTCCAGCGGAGAGCAACGAAATGATCAGGGGGCTGGGGCATATGACTTATGAGGAGAGGCTGAGGGAACTGGGCTTATTTAGTCTGCAGAAGAGAAGAGTGAGGGAGGATTTGATAGCAGCCTTCAGCTACCTGAAGGTGGGTTCCAGAGGATGGAGCTAGGCAGTTCTCAGTGGTGGCAGATGACAGAACAAGGAGTAATGGTCTCAAGTTGCAGTAGGGGAGGTCTAGGTTGGATATTAGGAAAAACTATTTCTCTAGGACTGTGGTGAAGCACTGGAATGGATTACCTAGGGAGGTGGTGGAATCTCCATCCTTAAAGGTTTTCAAGGCCTGGCTTGACAAAGCCCTGGTTGGGATGATTTAGTTGGGGTTGGTTCTGCTTTGAGCAGGGGGTTGGACTAGATAACCTCCTGAGGTCTCTTCCAACCCTAATCTTCTATGATTCTATAACCTGTCCATGATTTTTACTAAAAATATCCATGACTAAATTATAGCATTACCTATTAATTTCTCTTGTGCCCCTCCCATCTTCACACACTGATCAATTGCCTTTCTTTTAGTTATGTTCCAATGTCTCCCTCCTGGTAGTCAGTCCTCCTACCTTCACCCCCAAATCCCTTTTCCCTTCAGAAAATAGCAATTTGGTGAAGTCAGCCCTTCTGATATTAGTGGGGTAGGAGCCTGCTTCTCAGGCTATGAATGTGGATCATGTTCCATAACTACTTTACATAGGCATTATAAACTTATACCTAAGGCCCCAGATCCTGAAATCACTTGAAGCCAGAACCTCCACTTCCATTTAAAAAAAAGTAAAGTTTGAAAATTTGACTCAAGTGTAACTGATGCAGTAATGTTTGTCTGAGACTGCAGAGAGCCTCCAGCAGAAAGAAGACATGGCTGGCCCCACACCTACCACCAGAGGCAACTAGGCCCCTGCTGTGCTGAAGAGGACCCTGTCACTCTTCTGGCTCTAATGGAGGGGGGGATGGAGGCAAGGGAAAAGGGAAAACTTCTTAGCTTGCCCAGGGGACCCTGGGAGGATTGGCCTTCCACTATGAGGAGCCCCTCTGAGGGGTGCGTCACTGTACCAGGGAAATAGGACTCAGCTGTGGGGGGACTCAGCTGCTGGCTCTGATGAACCTGCGTGGCCAAGAAAGGAAAGAGACCAGAGGCACTGCACATCTCCTAGTGGCCTCTTTCTTTTTCTGTGTGCAGAATGAATGACTGAGCACTCAAATTTAACAAACATGACGAAGGGGATGGGGAAGAGAGGGATAAGGAAAATGGAGAATAGTGAAGAGAAAGTGTTTAAACTCAGAAAAGAGCAACTGTGCAGCCAATGTGAGAGGAGAGATTGAGACAAACATTTTCTAGGCCAAGATTGCAAATAAGAGGAAGAGCAAGATGGATGTTTTTTCAAGTTATCAGGTATCATAAAGATGTGTCATCAAAAAGTGATGAGGAAAACTGTTCTTGACTGTGGGGAAAAAGAGTGACAAAGCATCATGCTGTGGAGCAACCTGCTAGCAGCTCAGGAATGGATAGGAATGATAAATGGGCAAAAGTTGAAACCTCAAATGCAGTGTGAGATCCTATTGTGGGTGGGCTGAATCCACTCCTGACAGAGACCTGAACAGTCTGTCTCTTCCTTCCACTTTGGAAACACTTCTGTAGCTTGTCATGCTAATAAAGTCTCATTGAAATGAATGTAGGATCTGGAATGAATGAAGAGGCAGGAAGGAGAATGAATGAAAGGAGCAGATGTAATGAGGGAGAGGATAGAGGACGAAGGGAATGTGTGAGGGTGGGAGAGGCTGTGCTATGAGCTTGGGCAGCCATTTGTTCCACACACAAGAAGAAAACAAAAAGAGGGACCATTAGTTGCTATCTCTGCATGAGGGCCTTTGCTGACACCACATGAAAAGTGGACTCAGTGTACGTGCTGCAGTCACCTCCATCATCATTTGAGTGGGAAAGATGCAGACATGGCATTTCCTGCCCAGATGAGTAGGGGCTGAGACCTCCTTCCCTCTGGACAGAACCCAGCTTGTATGACGATAGAGTGATGTTCTAGAAAGGAGGGGGACCCCAGCCTGCACAAAGGGGAGCAATGGTAGACCACCCGCTAGCCCAGCAGGTTGCTCTTATATGTGTGACTATGAGAGAATGAACTGTCACAAGGGTGAAAAAACCCAAACAACCCCAAGAATCTGTAGGTAGTGGACTACCCCAGAAAATTAGAACTAGGATGTGGTTCAGCTGGCTCTAATCAATCACAAATCCTCTCAGAAGCTGCTGGGAGTGGAAGGGATCTAGGATTTACATAAATCAGCCCCACCTCATTCTGACGCTGAGGGAACAATTCCAGAGAGAGGAGTTTTAAAGACAGCACCAGATCATTGTCTGAGGAGCAGTAACACCTTGGAAAAGAAGGTACCGAGTTTGGGCACAGGCTGGGCTCTGCCTCCCTATAAAGACTTTGGACTTTCTAGAGAATAAAAACGCTTTGGGTACACAAAGGGAAACTTACAAGGAAATAGGACTGAAAGTAAATGGGTGTAGATAAAATAAATACTGGTAAACCCTTTTTAAAGAATTCCTACATGCTCTGGCTTCCTCTCCTTCCCCCCCCCCCCCCCCCCGCCAAGTGCCCCATTTCTGAGGTTGTCAGATCACCCAGATGAGCGTGGCCCTGGCCATTACAACCCTAAGCAGGGATGGGATGATGGTGTGGAGGAGTAGGGTTGTGGCACAGAAGAGACCCCATGTGAGGGTGTCTAGGTCCCCAAATTGCTTTAATCAGGCTCTGCTGGTACCCACTTCTGCAGTGGGAGAGGGAGCTTTATAGGTTGTCCTTTATGCAGGTTGGGAGGAGATGTACAGAGCATTGATGACAGCAGATTGCTATATGTGACTGTCAGACACTATTTTCCTCATGTTCATTGTTTTTATTTGTGTAGGGAGCTTTTGGCAGGACCCCTCTTTATCGTGCTGCTTTTGGTGGTCACATGGCTGCAGTGGAGACGCTTCTTCAATATGGAGCAGACCCCAGACTTTATGCTGATGATGGCAACACGCCTGAACAAGTAGGGGCAATTTGTTCTATTTCCCTTTGCCTTACAATAACATTTTCTTTTTGTTTTTTGGTCTCTTATATTGTCTCCTCTGCTCCCTGAATGAGCCTCACAAACAAGAGTGGATATTGACTGACTATGCAGGGGGTGCAGTGGCACTGGCTCTACACAGAGTGCTATAAACTGTTGGAAGTAAACCTGAAAACATAGGTGAAAATATATCCTTTTTTCTCTTAGTTCTACTGATCTCAGGTGTTACTTGTAACAAGAGCAAGTAAAGCATTTTCAGCCAGGCATGTGACTTTGAATTGAGTTGTGTCCATTTAGTTTCAGTTTAACTGCTGTTTCATTCTTTGAGTGATTGTGCACACAGATTCCATTCTTGGTGCACATATGCCCTGTGCACATGCGATCGTATTCTTTTGAATAGCTGCGTCCCACGGGAATTCCCCTGCATCCTGGGAGCCCCTGCAACCACCGTAGCCAAGGGTATAAGGAGCAGGGCAGCCTGAACAGCCTTTCAGTTCCTTCTGACCACCTATGGCTTCAACATGGAGCCCTGCGATCTCAGTGACCCCCAATCTGCAAGAGATTATTTAGCTATTGTTTTCTGATTCGCTATTTACAGTCCATTAGTTAGCATACCTGTCCTCTATTCCCTGTGGAAACAGTGTTTTGATAGGATTTCTGGCCCCCGGCCACATGCCAGCCTCTGTACATGGTTAGACACCCCCCCGTCTCATACATAAGATCAAAATGCCTAAAGGCAAGGCTCCAGGATTCAAGATCTCTTCTACCTGGGACTCAGCAAAGCCCATGATTGATGCTCAGCACCTCCTATGCTTAGGCAAAGACCATATGCCCGAGCACTACTTAATGTACGATTTTCAAAGTACAGACTTCAATCCAGAGAGGGCAGACTGAAGTTACATCTTCTGGAGGCTTTGATGCAAGCGTTGTCTGATCCAGACAAGCTGGCCAAGAAACCTCCCCATTTGTCTCAGTCCATCATAGAATCATAGAATATCAGGGTTGGAAAGGACCTCAGGAGGTCATCTAGTCCAACCCCCTGCTGATAGCTGGACCAATCCCCAACTAAATCATCCCAGCCAGGGCTTTGTCAAGCCTGACCTTAAAAACCTCTAAGGAAGGAGATTCCACCACCTCCCTAGGTAACCCATTCCAGTGCTTCACCACCCTCCTAGTGAAAAAGTTTTTCCTAATATCCAACCTAAACCTCCCCCACTGCAACTTGAGACCATTACTCCGTGTTCTGTCATCTGCTACCACAGAGAACAGTCTAGATCCATCCTCTTTGGAACTCCCTTTCAGGTAGTTGAAAGCAGCTATCAAATCCCCCCTCATTCTTCTTTTCTGCAGACTAAACAATCTCAGTTCCCTCAGCCTCTCCTCATAAGTCATGTGCTCCAGCCCCCTAATCATTTTTGTTGCCCTCCGCTGGACTCTTTCCAATTTTTCCACATCCTTCTTGTAGTGTGGGGCCCAAAACTGGACACAGTACTCCAGATGAGGCCTCACCAATGTCGAATAGAGGGGAATGATCATGTCCCTCGATCTGCTGGCAATGCCCCTCCTTATACAGCCCAAAATGCCATTAGCTTTCTTGGCAACAAGGGCACACTGCCGACTCATATCCAGCTTCTCATCCACTGTAACCCCTGTGGTCCTTTTCTGCAGAACTGCTGCCTAGCCATTCGGTCCCTAGTCTGTAGCAGTGCATGGGATTCTTCCATCCTAAGTGCAGGACTCTGCACTTGTCCTTGTTGAGCCTCATCAGATTTCTTTTGGCCCAATCCTCTAATTTGTCTAGGTCCCTCTGTATCCTATTCCTACCCTCCAGCATATCTACCACTCCTCCCAGTTTAGTGTCATCTGCAAACTTGCTGAAGGTGCAGTCCATGCCATCCTCCAGATCATTAATGAAGATATTGAACAAAACCGGCCCCAGGACCGACCCTTGAGGCACTCCACTTGATACCGGCTGCCAACTAGACATGGAGCCATTGATCACTGCCCATTGAGCCCGATGATCTAGCCAGCTTTCTATCCACCTTATAGTCCATTCATCCAGCCCATACTTCTTTAACTTGCTGGCAAGAATGCTGTGGGAGACCATATCAAAAGCTTTGCTAAAGTCAAGGAATAATACATCCACTGCTTTCCCCTCATCCATAGACCCGGTTATCTCCTCATAGAAGGCAATTAGGTTACTCAGGCATGACTTGCCCTTGATGAATCCATGCTGACTGTTCCTGATCACTTTCCTCTCCTCTAAGTGCTTCAGAATTGATTCCTTGGGGACCTGCTCCATGATTTTTCCAGGGACTGAGGTGAGGCTGACTGGCCTGTAGTTCCCCAGATCCTCCTCCTTCCCTTTTTAAAAGATGGGCACTACATTAGCCTTTTTCCAGTCATCTGGGACCTCCCCGGATTGCCATGAGTTTTCAAAGATAATGGCCAATGGCTCTGCAATCACATCCGCCAACTCCTTCAGCACCCTTGGATGCAGCGCATCCGGCCCCATGTGCTCCTGTGAGCTGTAATACTATCCCAAACACCACAGATGTTCACAAGCCCTATTCCTCTTCTGCTTCTACTTCAACATAACACAGAGGCCCGAAGACATCCAGTACCAAAGGAGATGTAGATCTCCCTTACCCACTGGGAGATGGAGTTCCTATCCTAAGCCTTGCACGGTGTGAAGGCAAATCTGGCACTGACCATTGCTGCCCAGAGCAAGCATTGTGCTGCACCAGGTACTGCTCATACTACTTTCCCTGTGACAGTAACATGCACACCAGTATTAAAAAAAACAAACCAACCCAGAGCAGACCACTCACTGAGGAAACTGACCCAGAACTAGTCAGTATAGAACACCATGGTGCTGAAGGCATCAGTGAAACAGAGTGCTTTAATGTCATTGATGGGGTCACCGTACCTGTATACTTCTCAGCGCTGGCAGTAAGACCAGTACTGGAGTTCCCAACGTTAGATGCTTTTGGAGGCAACGGAGAGACCAGGTCCATCTCATATTCCAACAGCACTGGCTATACACCTGACTGAGTAGGATTCCCCAGAACGCTGTGCCCCCTCTCAGTATCCTCTGAGGGTCATAGAATCATAGAATATCAAGGTTGGAAGGAACCTCAGGAGGTATCTAGTCCAACCCCCTGCTCAAAGCAGGACCAACCCCAACTAAATCATCCCAGCCAGGGCTTTGTCATGCCTGACCTTAAAAACCTCTAAGGATGGAGATTCCACCACCACCCTCGGTAACCCATTCCAGTGCTTCACCACCTTCCCAGGGAAATATTTTTCCCAATATCCAACCTAGACCTCCCCCACTGCAACTTGAGACCATTGCTCCTTGTTCTGTCATCTGCCACCAAATGAGAACAGCCTAGCTCCATGCTCTATGGAACCCACCTTGAGTGCTCCTTTAGCATCTCAATCCTCCAGTGGCCCTACTGGTGTTTAGCAGGCTTCTTGCTTCTGATGTACTTAAAAAAAATGTTGCTATTACTTTTTGAGTCTTTGGATAGCTGTTCTTCAAATTCTTCTTCTTTTTTTTTTTTTTTTTTTTTTTTTTTTTTTTTTTTTTTTTTTTT